TTGTAAATATTCATGAAAGTATCAATTATTTTTATTTTTGTTAGTTAATAATTTTATTAATGTTGATTATTATTTTTTTCATTATTATGTGTTGATTATTAATAATTAATTAATTATTTTATTTTGTTAGGTACATTTAAAATTTTTAACTTTGAAGTATTTAATTAAAAGTATAAGTGAATTGTTATATTTTATCTACATAGGTAAATAAAATAATATATATTTTTTTTAAATATGATTTGATTTTTCTATGATAATTATAAATTCAAATTCAAATACTAGTATAGTAATATACTGATATATCAATAAATAATAATATATAAATATGATGTATAGCCATATAGACTATAGACCATAATTTATAAATTTTAATAAATTAATATACCTGGTTATAATTCAAGAATTATAATACAAATTATAATATATTATAAATTTATAAATTGTATAACTTTATTTTATTTAAATTCAAATAGGCAATAGCAATACTATATAAAGGTTAAATAATATAGATAAGGATAACTGTAATAGTGCATTTGGTTAAAACTTATAACTATTTTAACTTTATAAGTTATAATTTATAACATTTAATACTATGGATGTTATTTTTTTTATTATTATTACAAATCAAAATAATTTGCATTAATAAATGTTAAGTAGTATATTTTATTTGATTTATTAAGTATTTTGTCTTTACTAATGAGTATTAAACTAAATGGTGCCATTATAAATTGAATTCCCTCCCCCCCTCCCGAAAAAAAAAAACTTTCTGAATTGCGCCCATGGGTTCAAAAATGTTTTTCATTATTGACTATCGAAAATAGTATTTGTAAATCAATTATTAAAGTATGTTCTTAAACGTTATAATTATAATTAATAGAATAATTGATTAATTAACACATATTTATAAGATTATAACTCTTTAAATTCATACCATATTCATTTAATCTCAAATTGTTCTGTAACTTTTACATCAAAACTCACATGTCAAAAGTACTTTTAACTAAAAATACACAAACAAACCTCAGAGTTAAATCACTAATATACAAAATTCTTTAAATTCCTATTTAGACTTAATTTATAGAAATAAGGAGAAGTATTAGGAGAGACCAGTGAAATAAAATTCAAACTTTTTAAAATATTAACTATAGAAAATTAATTAATATACTTCCTTTTATTTCTAATTCATGAAGAATCTATTAATTTTTCTGTTTTTGAAAAAAATTCCATATTAGACTACTTAATCTTACCAATTCATTGAATCTAAAACTATATTTCCTTAGTTCTTAGTGAAACCATTCAAGGTGAACCTTCATGATGTTTTCAAAGATAAATTGTGTCACAATATCTTTTGAATTAATGAAAACAAATTTTAATAAATTTTTTTATTACACTAAATTTTATTTGCAGATGTGAATATAAATATAGAAAAAAAACTTATTATTCAGTAATTATTATAAATTTACTTATCTACAACCCAAATATATCGTTACAATACATACCTAGATATTAACAATGAAAAATGATTCTTTATTAATTATCTAAAAATAAAAATAATTCTTTCTAATACAAAAGTAAATTTTTCCGTATCTATTGAACATATTCAGAGAGTAATTTAAACGTCACGCCAAGTAAATAGATACTATAAAATATTTATTTTTAATATTATTAAATTATAACTTATATCTAGATGAAATATTACAAAATATAAAAAAAATTATAAACAGAACATGTTCTTATATACGATGATTGAGTGGTAAACGCCAAGATAAAACATCATTTAAAATTTTTAATTACCTATTGGCTATAGGAAAAGATTAAAAATTATAAAATATGAGTGTAGGTGCAGTGGATAAAATTAAAAATAGATAAGGATACTCTCATTACTCTCTAATATATGATTACATTGATAACAATTATAAATTGTTATAAAATGGCTCATATTATTTTTATTATATAATTCACATTTAAAACGATTTCGAAAAAAAAAACATAATGCTTAAATAAATATAACTATTGTTTATTTAGGTAATTAGTAATTACCATTTCAAAATTTAAAATAATTATCCTTATAGATAAGATGATAATTTATACCATATCTAAAAGATGTTATAAGTATTCCAATTAGCTATTCCTAATAATATACTTATAGTGGTGACTGCTGACTCCGATAAGCACACTCATTTATCTTAACGTATTATAGTTCTATTTAATTAATAATTAATAAATAATACATACATTTGTATTTATTTATAAATAACACTTTAATTTAATACTTTAATAATTTTTATTGAGAATTAACTAACTTTTTTGATTACAATATAACCAATAAGTATCTTCACAATTTTTTTTTATCTATAAATAAAGTCAATTCTTTTTTCTTTTTCAACGAATTTTTCAGTTACTTTATCGTAAAATTCAGAACTCATTTTTAAACCTTTTATTATTTTTTTTTAAATTAATAATACTTTGAAAGAAGATAGTCTATCTTGACCTTGAGTATACCTTTAAGATGTTTTTATTCTTTTTAATTTTTAGGGCTAAAAATGTTCTTTCAGCTGATACTTTTGTACATGGAATAGTTGCAATTAACTTAGCTAATTTATATACTTCTTCTCACTTAATCTCATGAATTTGATTATTTTAAAAATTGGTTTATTTTTAAAATTTGCTGAATTGTACAAAACATATAACTAATATTTTAACCGGAAAATATAAAAAAAAACACTAATTTATTATCAGGAAATACTTTTTAATGTTTTTCATACAACTCAGAATTAAGTAATTATAAGAACTCCAATTTTTCCATAGGTTTAAATCAACTTTTAAATTCTTTCAAAATATTAAATTTATTTAATATTTCATTAAATAAACGTTCATAATTTAAGTTATTATCTATTTGGTTTGTCCGTATTTATTTTCTTGCAGGAGATTCGCAGTAATTTCCTTGTCTGCATTAAGGTCATCAAATATTTTTTCAAAATCATTTACACGTACTTCTTGCAGTTTAATTATAATTTCATTAACTTTTTTTTATACAATATGCTATATCTATAGTTTTTGTTTAAAATTTATCAAAAATAACACCGGTGAATGATAATATTGTTGAAAGTCTTTAGTAAAAACTGTGATAAAAACTTTAAAAAAATAAAAAATCCTATGCCTTCAAAATTGACTCACTACCCCAATCGTCAAAGTTTTCACGTATGTGCTCAAAAAATAATAACAGAATATAACTAAAACACGGATTTTTATGTACTAAAAAGTATCGAATATACTATATAATATGCAGTAAAAATCATGAAAATATACAACAAATAAGCAAAAAATATTTTTATTTATTTAAAATTCACAAATTAAACAACTAATAGATAATAATTAGTTATTTAAATACTTAATGAAAATGTTCCCTTCAATATGCAATACATTTCGAATTTCGTAAAATCCACGCTTTAGTTATAACATATTTAGTTTCTACGACAACCATAATATACTTATTATATTATAGTAGGTACTTAGCACTAAATAATATTAAAAAATAGTACAACAAAATATAACGAAAAATAATTATCATACACTTGTACACGTAAAATATACATATCATTGACGAAGCACAACAGAATTAAGTATGCCCTGGGTAGTGGGTGGTTAATACCGCGATTACTAGTGGATCTGGTATCGAAATAATCAGTATTTCACTGCAATAACAAGCATGTGTTATATATATATATAGTTTAAATATCTTGTGTACACAACATTTGCATGTTATGCTAGTAAATGTTATGACTTATGAGTTATGATCAAGATAAACACAGAAGTATAACAGAAATAGATGACATTTTTGTCATACATTATTATTTTTTTATATTTTTACAAGTAATATACAATCTGTATCATTAATACAATAAGAATATATGCTAAGAGTAATATGACAGGAAAATAATATGATGAAAGGAGCCACCCATTGATGACACTTTCTGTGAATTCTTTGTCATACATTATGATTTTTTTTTAATGTATAATGTATAAAATTACAAATAATTGTATTACATACTTGTATTATTACAAATAATTTTTTGTTTTTACTAATTACATGTGTATTCATGCTGAGCATATTCAGATAATTCGCCACTGCTAATATGTAAAAATTATAAAATTAATTAAATTATTTGACTTTGAATCTATCGTTAGTACAAGATAATTACTTGGCAATCGGAATATACATTTATAAACCTAAATAAAATTTAACTACCCCTATTAGATAAACACAAATAAGCTTGATTTTTTTTTTTAAATAATGCATTATATTAAATGCATTATTTTAAATGTATGCTTATAAACTATGTTTTATGATAATTCTACTATAATATATGTATATTTATATTTTATTGTCGTTGGTATAAGTAAAAATAAAGAATTGAATAATTATAATTTTGTCCTCGCGTCCAAATATACTAGCGCCCAAACGGCCGCGTTCATTTGTCCCTGTTCGTGCATTATATATTTACACAATTGTTATTGTTTGTTGGTTAAAAATAATCGAATTCATGATAAGATCTTTACTATTAATGAAATTAAATGATTTAAGCCGATAAAATAAAGTATTTTATTTTTCTATTTCGATAATTCTTTTACTTATATATAGGCTATAGCTAATAAATTGTTATTAGTCAAATATTGGTGTTTTAATATTTTAATTAATTGGCCAAACTTATGTGTTTTCTAAAATAAGTCTTCCTTAAGATATACGATTTAATTTTTAATAATTATATAATATAATATGTACAGTATATACTGTATATTATATATATATATATATATATATATATATATATATTGTGCATCGTATAATGTGATATACCTATCTAACCAGTATAACGTATAAACACTATTTATATATACGTCATAATTAATAAACTTATATATGTTGGATAAACTCCCACTTTTATTATTGTTTTGATACAAAAAATTGTGCTCTATATAATTTAAAAACGATAACCTCGCCGTGAGTTATCGCAGTATGATAAATTGTACCAAGCCACTTACACTGCATTCAAAGTTTTCTCGTGCTAGTCTTTAGTATACGTTACAAATTCCGAAACACAATGATGATTTTTGTGTTTACTTTAGTAGGATTAATGCTTATTGCAAGTGCAGCGAATGCCGAAGAAATCCACAACTTTCGCATGTGCCGGAGTGAGTATTATATTGATATTCGCATTGGTTATAAATTATACAATTATGTCGATTAAATTTTATTCCACTTTTTATAACTTATTGTTTTACTATTTCTTCTCTTCTTTTCAGAAACTAGGTGTGAAGTATATAGTGTATATATTGATCCATGTCCCGAAGCTCTAGACAACCAACCATGTGAAATACCACAAGGCATTAACGCGTCCATCATATTTAAATATAGACCTAGTATGTACAAATATTTTTTAAAGAATCCTATAACTCAATAATAAGAAACACCAAAAGAATTGACGTAATATTATGTTAGTAGATATATAAGAGATATTTAGGTTAGTATAAATAATAATATATACATAAAACACCAGGAAATGCTTATGTATATGGTTGATCGCCAAAATCAATAGTACAAATAATATATTAAACACATATTTATAACACAAGTAACAATGCAGATTTTCTATTACAGGGGCAAATATGTAATGTCTATCAAAAATAAAATAATAAATACAACATACATATTTGAAACTCCATTATTTTATTGCCAAAATAAACGTAAATAAATTGAAGTTGAAGTCCACATTAAAACAAAAATTAATATAGAATAAAAATTAATATAAACTGTCACCCAAATATTAAAAAAAAAAATCTTTCTTTAGCAGCCTCTCATATATTTTCCCTATATTAATTACCAATTGTATGTAAATAATTTGATGAATAATAAATTATAAACTCTTATACATAAGAATCCTAGTTTTTATTTATCATCGTGAATACTTATAGGCAATACATATAACTATAACCACAATATAAGTCACACACATATATATATATATATATTAAATTATAGTAAAATACATGGTACTTACCTTATACATTGCAGTACCCTAACATAAAAAAATAATAATCTTTATTTACGGAAGTTAATTTCATTTTACAATACATTGATATAATGAAAATATTTATCCCTGAACAATATAACATAACTAACATAATATGATATTGAAGCAATGTAATTTAATAATAATTCAGTTATTTGCATTCTTTCATTTTCAAGTATGTCTATTGTTTATACATGTATTATCCGTGTTCTATAAATTTATTCGGATAATTTTAAATGATTCAGAAATCTGAATGTAGCTATAAATAACTATATAATTTATAAATAAATTATTTTTAATCATACATTGTATTTAAGTACATAATTTATAAAATGTGTGTGCATTTGAATGAGATATCTATGTATAATTAATGTTTTAGATAAAAAAAAAAAATGTATTATTCTTATTCTCTAATCATTTACTTTTTGTCATTTGTATGTGCTAATATAATTCCTATTTCCTATTCACAATGTATACTTGTACCAATAAAACTGCAAAATCCAAAGGTAATAATTTTTAAAATTTAGTATAAATTATTATAATTATAAAAAGTTAAATTGGTGGGTACCGCTCAACTATAGGTGCTATAGGTGTAGAAAAGATAACTATAATTCAAAGTGGTCAACATGAATTCAATAATAAACTTTTATGATTGTAGAAATGTAGAAACAATTAGTTTGGGTCGTTTGGGGTATTGTATATCATATTAATTTCATTGATCACATTCATTACACATAAAACAATTCAAAAAATTATTATATTAATGCATATGTTATAATTATTTTATATATCAGATACCTAATAATTAATATCATTATTATTATTTCTTATGTTAACTTATAAATCAATACAATTACGAACGATGTTAATAATTATGTGGTATAAGTAACTTAAAATAAGTTAAAATATTTTGAAAATTCCTTTGTTGTGTGATATAATAATGATATACTTTTAATAATAAAAGTTTCAAGTTCTTTCAATGGTTAATAATTACTGAATTATTACAACAAATAAAAACTTATATAATTTAAATATCAAATGTTATTAAATTTTGAAACTGAAATGCTTATAATATACAGAATTGTGGTTAAGTATTTTCGATATTTTTTAATGACAATAACAATTATTGATAAATAATTTTGTATTAAATTATCAAACTATTTTAAACAAAATAAAAAATTTTATCATAATTAAAATAAAACAAAACAAAAATTTTAAATACCTTTAAATAGCACATAAAGATCCAATATATTTTTAAAATAATTTTTTGTCTAGTAAATGCAAATATTATTTTAGTATTCTATGAAAATCTAGTTATTTATTTTGAAGCTACAATAATAAAACCAAATTGATTTTATCAAAAACAATTAACAAAATTTTGCACAAAAGTTCCATTTTTTCTTAATTTAATTTTTTTTTTGTTCCTTGTAAATAGCTTAAAAAACTACTTATACTTTTTTACCACACTTTCCCTCCCTAAAAAATAAATAAATAAAATACCAATTAGATCTAATTTCCTACTAGAAATCACCCTAAAAATTGAAAATTAAAATATTTTTATTCCTCCAAAAAATATAACTACCAAAATTATAAACACAAATATAATATAAAATCATTGCTTAATTTATCGCTCCATTTGAATCTATAATCATTTTTATTAAGTTTTAAAATATATCTACTAATTTTTATGTATAAATTAATTGTTTATAAAATCAAAACAGTATCTATTTGCATAGAAAGAGTTTTTGTATATTAAGATACAAATATATTCACCATGTATTAAAAACTTTAACTCCAAACTATATTAAGGTTATCGATATCTCATGTTCTAATAAAGCAAAAAAATTAATTTTTAATAAAATATTTAATTGAACAAATAAAGAGTTTATTGTAACATTGAACTCAATAATTTTTTAATATAAAAAATTACACTATAAGATCATAAGTACATTTGGCTACTGTTTAGCTAATTATTGATTATAAATAAAAATTTATGCAAGTAACTTAAATCTTTTAAATTATATTATACTATTTATAAGTGTTATTATCAAAAAAAAAGAAAAATATCATATTATATTTATTTTTATAATTTTATTTATTTATTGTGTTGAAATGTATACTTATTAGTTATAGAGTTCATTTAGTTGTTTTGATATCTTCAATTTTTTAAAAACTAACACCAAATCTTTTTTTTTATTATTCGCCCAGAGCCCAGAATTTTTTTTAGATGATGAAGTATTATCAAATGTCGTTATTTTTTAACAATTAAAAGAAATAAGTAGGTACTTAAATCTAATAAATTAGCAATTAACAGTTTATGAGTCGTTCATCTCTAATGGATTCATTTCTAAATCACAAGTTGATCAGTTTTAATTATATACTTATTACTTACTGATTAGATAATTATTGAATAATTATTTTAAATAATTCTTAATGGATTTTAATTGATACTTAAATAAATATAACTCATTAAATAATATCTTGAGTTATGAAAAATTAGGGTTATTTAGGTATTTATTGTTTTTTATTCGAGTTCATCCTCAAACATTTCGAGTTAATGCATGTAAAATAAAATCTAGCGTTAGGTAAAGTCACTCTGTTTCTCTGCTGTATAATTGATTTCGAACATGGATAGTTGGTACTTAGTGATTTATTACATCATTGTATAATTTATACATCAAAAATTGAATTTTTATTCAATATTTCATTGTTAAGTAACCATTTCATACAACAAATAAGATTTTAATCGGAAACAGTGTATCAACTTCTATTTTTGAGTAATTTGTCGTATTAGAAAAAAAAAATAAGAATACCTACGACATATTGAAATAAATATTTCTAAAATATTGCATATATTATATCATTAATTTTATTACAACATTATATTATTTAATATATATATTATGTTTAATAATGTATATACATCAATTGTCAATACCAATGTAAAGTAGAACGATGCAAATATATTTTAGGATAGTAGTTTTAAATTAGTCAAAATATTTTTTTTAATTGCATTGGTTATAGAAATTAATAATGTATATAATGGTAAAAAATGTCAGATATGCATAATTATTAATAGTTTTTAAATAATAATAAAATAACTAAAATAGCTTAAAAAAAAATGTTATTTGTTTACTTCACTACCAATTAAAAATATTTTGTGTATACATTTTAAAATACTTGAGAATAATTATTGAAAAATATTAGTAAATTGAAAATAAATAAATAATATTTTACTTAATTTAAGCAAATAAACAATATTAATACGTCATCCGTACATTGATAATTGATTAGAAAAATAAGGCTATAGAAAATCTCAATTATTTTTATTACAATAACATAAAATTTGATAATATAATATTTCAATAAAATAGAAATATATAGGTAGGTATATTGCAACACAAATTACTCAAAGTCAATAATCAAAAAATTACCTTTACATGTAAATCTTTTCTCTATATAACTTTTTCTCACATAATATATTCTAATAAACACATTAAAACACAATCGATAGACTTGTATATTAATAGAATTTAACAAATTTAATTTAATAATTCGTAGATGGACAAATTTGTATACCAATATAATAGCATCAATGCAAATAACTAAATACAAATATCGACATACATTTTGATTAGGACCTGAATCATAAGAAAATATTTATAAAGCTGCAATAGAAATGGTTTTACTTAATTATAAAACTATTATTTGGAAAAAGTTTCTTAAAAAGATTTTAATATGACTTATTATTATCGTGTATAATAAACAGTGTTCATAAGAAGAAAAAAAGCTGAAAATATATACTGACACAGTTTTCATTGAATAGTCATTTGAATAGGAAACATACTAATAGTTATAATAGAACACGGTTGTATAATGATTCATACATCCGCCGACATTCCTCATCTGCAGTATATCCCCGGATGCAAATAAAAATGCTACAAGGAATTAGGATGTCTAATCGGATTCGTTGTTTGCTTGATACTTGTAAAATTTGTTAAGTATCTATAGATACTTATTATTATCATCTAGTAAACTACTATAAACATATCGTTTTAAAAATTCTAAAATCCTAACCTTAAATAATATAATTATTCAAAAAGTACTGACATAATATTATAATTTAAATTTAAATTTAGCTTATGTATATAAAAAAAATAAGAATAAATTGTGGTAATTGGAATTTGATTTATCGATTATTAAGACTATTCTAAAATATAGTTTAATGACAATCCTAAAGTAAAAATGTAATAAAACCGTTAATATAAAATAATACCTGAGCATTCTCACTTTTTTTTTTAATACCAATAGTTGTAATACTTCAACATGAGTGTGAACATAGTTATAATAACAGTTTTTTTTTTTTTTTTTTGGAACATTACACACTATGAATACATTTTATGTATAATTTTTATACTTCTTAATTATTAGAGTAAAAGTAAATATAAGTAAATATGAAATAATTAATTCTTTTTCGTTTCAAATGAAATAAATATTAAAAATGAATAAACTATTGTTTGTACATTATCAATTATTATTTTATTACTAACTGAAATTCTAATATGATTGGTTAAGACTTACGTTAGGTCAGTTACTTAAACTCAATGAAATTTTCAACAAAAAAAAAAAAAAATAATAATAAAACAATACATTTTAAATTATAAGAATAATTATAATTAAATTTTAATTAATAATTATATTTAGACAAAAAAAATAAATAAATAAATAAAGATAGTAAATAATAGCATTTACAGTGCTTAAAAAAAAAATGTTATTTATATCTTTGATTGGATATTTTCTACATTTTAATTGTTTTCTTTCCATAGTGTAATTTTTAAATACCTACCTATAAAAAAAAATGTAATATATTTAAATATTAAATAATAAATATAGTATTAATCTGTAAATTAATTAAAAACATATCGTCCACGTTTCCTTTACAGTAAGTTCAATACCTAATTAAATTAAAATAATTAAACTTTATGGTGCAATAAAAGTTGAAAAAGTGTTTTAGTTTGTTTATATTGAATATAAAATAGTTTATACATCAATGTTAAATCTATTTGTAACATTTTAAGTTGTTATATTTTGAACAGTCTCAATAGAATATATATTATGAAATTCATAACTTAAAAATCATTCATAAAATTAATCGAGATTCGATATTTTTATTTTTTAAATATTTTCAAATTAATTTCAGAATTTGGTTCAATGACGCCTCAAACAAGACTATACGCTGAAACCCTTTTAATGGACTTGCCATTTATGGACATGGACACTAACGCATGCTTATACACAGAATGTCCAATTAGGATGAATGCCGAACAGGATTGGAAGTACAATTTGTTCATATCCCCAGATTATCCTAAAAACAGTTACACAGTAAAATTGAAGTTCTGGGACAATGGACCTAAAGCCGATAAGCATGACGAATGCTGCTTTAAATTCAATATGAAGATTGTTTAAAATAAATGGAAAATATTTGCAACTTTATAACATATTAACACCTATAATATAATATAATATAAATATCATTATTATTATTCATTATACAATTTAATATTATATACATAACTTCAAAAAATATGCGTCTATGCAGTACTTGCATACAGCTAGACGTGTATATAATATTTAATACATTATCAACATACAATAATAATATAAATTATATATTAGATATTATTGTAATTTTTATTTAACGTTTAATAAACTATTTATTTTTTTGGTGAGAAATTACAAAACAAAAATGAAACGTCTGTCTGTTTGGGTACCATAAAGAACATCTCTCCGCTCGAAAACACACACACACACACAAACGTATAAATAAAGGTGAATCGCGTCTGCGATATGACATAGTGGCGACAAACTGTTAGGTTGAGAATAATACTACTACTATTAATAATAATTGCCTTTAGAACAATTGATTTTTAACGGTTCGGAAAGAGAAAAGTTTAATGATACTCTGAGAGACGCACTGGGTGTCCCAAGCCGAATAATAACAACGATTAATTAAAATACGCTGACGAATGCCGTACGCACATTTGGGTCGTTGTATAAAAGGTGAAATTATCTTACGGAAACGATCACATGTTTTCGCGCAGTAGATGGTTGAGCACCGAAGCTCTAAACATGTTACGTATCAATAAATTTACCCTGGTATTGGTGATGATGTGTTCGTGTTACGTGACCAGTATCAAGCTGGACGAACTCAAGAACGATAAAAGTAAGTACACTACAGAAACCAGGAAGTAAACCGTTTATCATTATTATTATTTACGTAAACTATAAGCTAGAAATTATAACTTAAATATGTCGTTTTGAGTAATAGCAGATAATTAAGCTATAATATATTCAATGTTTTTTACTTTTAATCATCGATAAGATAATATTAAAATTAATAACATTGATATTATTAAGTAGAACATTATACACGGTTGTACGACTAAATTAATTATAGTTTTGTGTATTTTTTAAATAATAATTTTTACATTTTTTTTTTTTTCGTTTAAATAATAAATATTATAATTAGGTACCTATATTTACTCGTACATATAATATTACAATTACTGTTTTAAATGTTACGATTATATTGGCTCTAAAAAGATACTCCCATAAGTCCCAAATACTACAGTAACTGTAAAATGTCATTATTAACACTAGTACACTACCAATATGTAAAATTAACAATCCACCAATTGAACAATATATATTATTTAATATTATCATTAGTATAATTACGGGGAACGGATTTTCGTATAATCAGAGGATATTGTTTTCGGCCCCTACGTAATTTTTTAAAGGTATTTATAAAGCTGGTTTATTTAAAAAAAAAAAAAGTTTATAAATAAGATGACAAATTAGGGAAACATGCAATTGGTTGTTTAAAAATATTTCAATTATTTCTAAGACAAATTACTTATTATTTATCAGTTATCTTTGAAATATGTGTTTACTTAAACCAAAATACGTAAAATGATTCCATTTAATTCATACTTAAGTTATGAATCATGCTGTTCACAATATTTTATCGGTGCATAGACATTAAAGTACTTACATCTTAATAAAAATATATATTCACGCAAAAATACATTCCATAAAAGAAAAAAGGAATGAAAATTATTTATGATTTAACAGTCATCTAAAAAGCATTTTTTTTAAATAATATAGTTTGAATTTCCTCAATGAACAATTATTTATTTTTAAACGCCAATCGGTAACTTCAGGTTTACGAATTAAGTTTAGTTTACAGTAAAAATAATAAATAATACATATTAACATAGAACAAATAATAGGAACAACCCATATAAATTAAATGGTAATTGACTATTATTCTACAGCAACTTATAACTAGCATATTTATTTATACATTAAAATCAAATCCAATACTATTTAAATTACGAAGCATTTTATGTAAAGGATGGTTATGTCTCTAAGATGTATCAAAAATGATATGTATTAAGAGTTTTATGATTTGAAAAAAATTTATTAAAAATTAATATGTTTTACTTAAAATTCATTAAAATAAATTTAAAATTTTATAATTTTCAACTCATACAAGGTTTCTATTCCAATAAGTTACAAGTATTGAAATATAATTATTTAATTAAACAAATAAAATACAAAAAATTATACAGCTGATTCAGTTAGTATCTATTCTCTTCACAGTAATAATTCAATTTTAACATAGTTTTAGGTGTACATAGTACATATTATATGTCTATATATACATTTTACATTACTTTACTTCCATTTAAAGTCTTAGATAGTATATGTTTAGAGTTCACGCGTATACTCGTTCACATCTATATTATAATTATGGATACGACAATTTCGTAGTATTATATCATCTAACGTTAAAGTTTTAATTAGTGTATAGTATATTTTATTACTGTACCTACCCATATTATATCGATACTCATAAGATCATTTTACATCTATATAAGTAAAATAAAAAATAGAAGCAAACTATTAATATCAATCCTATTCCTATAAATTAAAGTAAAGTAGTACCTTAAATAATTGTGTATACTTGTATATAAGTATAATAATTTAGAGAAAAACATGACATGTAGAAAACATAAATAGAGAAAATATCCATTGACATCACTATAAATATATATTATTATACATAAATACATAACTACATAAATAATAATGACATTATAATCAATTATCTAAAATCTGAATTCGAGAATTGATTTTTTTTTTAAATATAAATTTTAGTATCAATAATAATTAAATTAAAAGGTCTCTACACCATTTTTTTTCAGTCGACAGGTTTAGATCGGTTAGGTTTAGAAAGGATAAATTTTATTTGATAACCTATGATTAAGAAGTTTATTATGGAACTGTTTGTAAAATTTAAATGCTTGATCGAGAATGATCATTATGAAGGATTCGATTATTAACATACCACCAGAAATGGCTTGAACATTCAAAAGACCGGGGCTTTATCTCGGTCCATATTTAGATTGAGAAGTAAGGTGGTCATCGATAATAATATTAAAAAATTCTAAAAAGTTATAACTTATTATTTTTCTTGAAATATTTTAATATTTTATAAGAATTAACAAAACGTCTCAATACTGTTGCTATCATTAGATTTGTTATTTGATAATTTTATTATTATAAATCAACCTAAACGTCAAAATATATTAAGTTTGGCGTATCATCGAAGAAATATAAATTCAAAAAATTAGCAAAGACATTTAAATCTATCTTGCTCAACTGATATTAACTCGAACTTTGAAAAGAGGATTGACAAATTTTTCATGAAATCAAATCTATTATAGACAACTCTATCATATTAATAGGTAGATATTTATTAACATAATAGTATCTTGTTATATTTTTATTGTTTCATATATAATTTAATAATAAGTGATATTTGTATAATGTATATATGTAATATCTTAGTGTGTATATAATTTCTTATCTTCATATATATATATTGTATATGTATAATCAGTAAATAATATATATATATATTAATACATTAAAGCACTAATTACTTGGCCAAACTGATTTTTATTTGGTAAAATATCAAATTTATGCAGAGGTGGGTGAGGAGTAGTATATTTTAGGCTTGCCCCGATCAAATAAAATTGTCAAACCGCCACTACATACCACGAAGGATTATTTACTGTTCTGAGGAATATTGATTGAAAATATTGTATAATTTCGTATTGCTCTACACATCATAATGATTGTAGTAAAACGTTATTTTATCTTATCTATTCTTGTATACGATATATTTTATTCATAGTTGTATTGATTAATTGAGACATCATATAATATGAATACATTTTACGACTATTTACCTTTGCATTCAATCAATAATGGTAAAACTACAACTAGTTTTTATATCTCATAAATTTTGATTTATTAAAGAAAAAAATTAAATGGCAAAATGAACTATTTCTAATTATGAGACTTAAAATATAAATATGCGTTGACCAGTACTTAATAGTCTTAGTAGTTAGTACATCATATCACCAAACTTATAAATTAACTTTTGAAACGTATTTCAAATATCTACTTGAATGAATAAGAAGTAAAACACAATTTTTAATATAAATATATTTAAATACAATTATAAATACATTTCAAAATATTTCAAATATGTTTTTAAGTTCTTACTTATCTATTTTAAAAGCTCTTCTGGAATTATTTATGGTACCTATAAACAAACATTTTCTTATGTGATGATTAGATAAATTGTTTTTGTTTTTTAATCAAATATAAAAGACAAAGTCAACATACTATAATATGTAATGTATTATGTAGGTATAATATAACTTTTTATACAAATTAAAATTGTCTTTTTAAATATTTTTTATGTTGCAATGTCAAATTGCAAAAATAAGTAAGTATTTATTAGTTCAAAATACATTATACATAATTTTAAATACTTCATTTTTACAAACATTTGAAGTACAAAAGTATAATTTATATAAACTTTCCAAGTGTATAATACACATTGTATAATTATAAAAATTATTATTATTTTATATCGTAATATAACATTTTCAAAGAATGAAAACTTTTACCACTTACTCAACACTCACCATTATAAAGTAATATTTTACTAAACGTTTACTTTATATCCTCGCCAATTATTACGAACCCCTGGTTATATTGAACATTAAAGCAGTATCAGGAGTTGTGTTCTGTGTGATGTTGAGTAATCAGAAATTTGCTGACACATAGTTTTTAGAAAATACTTGAAAGGATCCCATGATATACATTAAGGACAAGACATTCTATCGATAACGAACATTATATTAAGACAAACTATTTTTGTGTAATTAATTAATTGTTTTATATTAAACAATTATTTTATTTAATCCTTACTTTAAACTATGTTTAATATTTTATTTTATTATTGTGTTCGTTTATAATGCTACTTTAAATCAACCACAGACCACTATAACCATACGTTGCAAAATGTTATTAATATTATACATGTATACTGTATATGACACCAATATTAACACTCGTGTCAACTTTCGACAC